ATGACCAAATGCGGTTTGTTTTTCTTTTTTTTTTTCTCTTAGGGTTTCCATGGTTTTAATTTCTATCTCAATCTTAAAATTAAATATTAATAATTAAAATTAAATATCCAGCCATCCACATGGAGATGCAGACATTTAGTTATTTGGATTTATTAAAATCTCCTCACACTGATAACAGCATCGGGACGTACGATTTGGCAGGGTAAACACAGGTTTAACAGCCTAATTGCTCGGAATTTTGCGGATCATTATGCTAATGCCTCTGCAGCAAAGCGCTAAATCGGAATTCCCATCACAAAGAATTCTCCTTGCTGACTGAGGAGGGAAAACTGGGACATCCCGGGGTGATGGGAAGAGATTGCTCTTCAGGGACACTCGAGGGGGATTTTCAAACCACAGGACCACCGAGCTCTGCCAAAGGAAAGAAAGCAAAGCCCGACAGAAAACATCAGGAATTACAACTTTGTCAGGCACTCAGACAATGACACTTGTGGTGCTTGGGGGCAAGATGGATTCATGGAGCTCTACAGGACACAGACACACTCTATGCAAGCAAACAACTCTGCATGTACACACAATTTTGTATTGTCCAAAACTCAACTGAACCTTGAGCTAACCCCATTATTTTGCTCTCCATGTCCCACAGTACATTATGCTCCCTTAACAAATCCAACCCTGATCCCCCAGGACACCCAAACCTGCTCTGACCCCACACCCCCAGACTCACAGATGTCCTACAAAACCAGGCTTGCTTGGAGAACTACGAATATCTTACTGGCAAGGTTTTTGTTTTGGTAAAATAAAGGCCAAATGAGAAGTCTTCCATCATAAATATGAATTTTGAAAGAACAAATATAATTCGAAATTTTTGATCCAACAGTAAACAAGGTCAAAATAAAAAAAACAAATAAAAGCTATCAACACAGTTTGTTGGCTCCTTATGGCACTAATATTTTCTTCAGTTTTCTCAAAAAGTTTTGTTACTGTTTTCTCGGATCCTGTGTCCACATTTAATCACCAAAAATGCACCTCCACCACACAGCAGATGTGTCATTAACTATTTCTGAAAAAAGGTGAAATAAAATCACCCAGCATGAGAAGACTATGGAATAAGCCAACATTAGCAGATGGTGTTTATTTTGTCACAGCTCCTGTTAAAAATTGTCACCTATTTCATCAGTATCTTTGAGGTAGAAACTTCATGCAAAAAGTGAAAGAGCTGCTTTTTATAAGCTGTCACAGAACTCCTTAAATAAAATGTATTCTGTTTGTAGCTTCTAGTTTTTAGGACATGGTGCATTACACAGGAGATCAATTTGTGTAAATCTGAGGTGATTGAGAGCTTTGCCAGCAGCTCAGCCCTTCATCACACAGCCTCTTTTGTTTCTTAAGCAAATTTTAAATCCTTTATTTCCAATACTGGTGCTGTTCAAATTCTGTAACATGGCTCCTAGAAGAGGCACCTGTTAGAATTGTCTGCTTGTTTTCTTCTAGGACTCTTTCTTCAGCAAGAGTTTTACTTCTCTCTCAGGACTCTCTATATTCTTGCTATTTTATTTTATCACACACTTTTGCCTCTGTGGTTCGCATTCTCTAGCTGACAGTTTCTTAACAAAACAGTTCCATGAAGAGTAATTGCACAACCCACAACCCAGATTTGGCAATTTTAACAAATCACTGCTAAAATCCCATGATAAACCCAGGTCTTGCTTGTGTTGTTTTGAAAGAACACCTACTAGAATTTAAACCTAAAAATCCCCTGTTAGTGCACTGCAATATGTTTGACTCACTCAGTCCTTTCCCCTTCACTGCCAAGCCTTCAAGTTCAGGCTGCTTGTACACCCTAGACCAGGAGCTGACCCTTTTGCCTTTGTCACTTAATGAGGCCTTTCAGGGTCTTATTCACATCATACCCCAAGCAGCACCCTTCTACATTTCTTTATATAAATAAATAGAAATACATATGAATGCATATACATACATACACACAACATCATACTTCTGGAATGCTTAAAAAACACAAATCATTCTGATATAAATAGCTGAAATTTTGTTACATTATTTTACAGCTCTGAAAATAAGCCAGGGCTGGTCTGGTTATTTTGTTTGTTTTTAAGCCTAAATTCTTATTTTGACATAGATATGAGATTTTGGGGGTGGTTGGGGTGGGTTGTTTGTTGCAGTTTTTTAAATCTACTAAAAATTCTTCTTCCAGAAAAGGAGCACTCAGAAATGGTGAGATTTAGGATTGCTCCAATTACTAGTGAGGGGAGGTGTTTTTTCTGTAAGACAATTTTATTCTCTTTCCTTCCAGAGCCAGACCACACATCTGACAACAACCCTCCTGCCTGCATTTCTGAGCCACTGACCATTCCAACTCCCATGCTCAGCACTTCATCTCCTTTTCTGTGGCTGCACCAGCGGCATCTCTGACCTTGGCAAAGGCAGAGCAGATCAAGAAACCCATCATTTCATTAGAACACTGCAAAGCAATCCCTGCTCTACATGAGCACACATGAGCACTGGGTTCCTTTGAAATGCAAAGTCTGAGGGCTCTTCTTATGGTGACACAAAAAGTCCTCTGCTGTTGACACAACACTGAAAGCTTTGCAACACTATTTGGATGCATTCTCAGCCAGCTGAGGCTTTAAACCAAGGTTAGTGCCATCTGTCTGGTTTTGGCAGCATCCAGATTGATGTAGAAAATCCTGTGGCACTGTTTGAAAGCAGCACAGATAAAGCTTGCTTTTGGTCAAGTCGCTGGAATTATTAACATCAAAGATTTGGCTAAAAGCACCAGGCAGCACATCTGGGTCAGCAAACTCACTGCACCTTTCTCACCACATTTAGAGCATTCTACAAATAATTTCACTACGCAATCAGATTTAGCATGTCCAAGGAACGAGACTCAAAAGTCATAAAAGGTACTGCTTTCTTGTTGCTTGTCTCAGTTCAATTATTTTCTTAAATGCAAGTTAAATCAAGCCCATAGCCAGCATCGAGTATTTTTGAATTGTGATATAGTTATTAGTACATTTCCACATTCTTCTTACTTTCTAGAGCCCTGAACAAACACAGTACCAAAAATTTAAAGCAATTTATCAATCAAATATATTTGAATTGGGAAGAGTATCAGGTTGCAAGGAAAAAGAAGTAAACAAAAAGAGAAACAGTATTTTGTTTCTATAAAAGCCTCAAAGCTTCAAATGAGAAAAGACATTGCTCAGTTGGATGCAATTTGTTAGGCAAAACCTGTCTGTGATCCTGGAAAATGCATTCAAGCATTTTCTTTGAGATAGAGTAGAGCATTAAATAGCATAACCCACTCATTTCACCTGTGCCAAAATCCTCCTGCAACACCAGTAATCACGAATGCTTCAGAAATGCAGAGATGTATACAGGATTACTTCTGTTCTTTACTAATTTCATCTTTACTACCAACCATACACACAACACCTTTGGCAGTTTTTAGCATTGTACATCAGCACTATGGAATTTAATTACTCTACCAAAAGCTCTGGCTCCCACTCTTCGAAGAAGCATGGAAACACAACAAACAGTTCTTATCTGCTGTCTGAAAACACACTGAACACCCATGGGCTGCACTGACTAGGAAATGGTCACAGATGCTCAGTTCTTTCCAGAATTTAAGAAACCATTCCACTATTTATCCAGACACTGACTGAGATTCAAAGAAAAATGCCATTCACTAGTTTTTACCAAAAATCAGGCAATTATGGAAAGAAGTACATCAGAAAATGAGGGTAATGAGAAAACCTTGGTTTATGTCTCATTTGAATATTAAGCAAGCAGAGTATTAATCCTGGTTAGGGCCCTCATCTTGCAAAGCATTTACTTAAATGCTTAAAAAAAAAAGTCCAAACAGAAAGGCATCTTTCATGTATGTACTAGGTCAGAGGTGCAGTGGAAGAAAGGAATGAAATAACAAAATCCATCTTTCATCTCTTTAGGCAATCAAACACAAGGTAAAGTTTGCCAAGTCAAGGAAAAAGGGCTTTATCAAAAACAGCTGATACTATAGTTAGCATAAGTGTACATATCCAGTTAATGAAAATAATTCTTGAATTACAGAAATATCAAGATTCCGAAGATGTCACCGAATCACTCTCTTTGAACTAAAATTCCTTGAGATGTCTTTTGATTTATATTACTACAGTCTGGCAACTTTTCCTTTTTCTAAAAAAGTGCATTGCAGATTTTTTTTCCCCCAACATCCTCTTCCTCCCAAAGGAGTTTTGCTCTCAGGGAAGCAAAAGTCTGAGTGTGTGTGGGGAACAGTGGTACTTCAAAAACCCCTGGCTGGCAATGCACAATTCCTACAAACCCACAGAAACCAACACAAGTCCCTGACTTGCACAGCCTCTAAGATACAAAACTTCAGGGGCACATCAAGTGTGGCTCTCTGAATCTCCTATTCAGATCAAAAGAATTCAAATCAAGACTGAAGATGCAGAGTCATCACTAAATCTTTCACTCAAAAGTCTGATTGAAGAATCCCTGCAGAAACTTGTGCCCCATGCAAACCTTTACCAATGGAATACAACATAAGCAATTGCCTTGGTGAAAATACAGGTGCAGGTACCATTTTGTTTAAAATTATGCCTGTGGCTACCCAGAGCTGGCATCTCTTCCATGCCTCAGCTCTCCTCCTCTCATGGGATGAGCCCCACATAACAAAGCACAATCAGCTCAGGGAAAACAGCTCCTTCACCACCCAGCCCAGCGTCCCACTGAAAAACCCCTAAATTAGTTCAACCCAACCAGGAAGGTCATACTGAACAATGAGATAGAAATGAGTAGTAGAGATCAGGTTTATTCAACAGAATATAAATTCCCAGTAAGAAATAAGCAACCAACCAAAATCCCACAACACATAACAAACAGAACATAGAACAAGATTAAGCATTGCACAACACACAAGTTCTAAACTAGGTTCTAAGTTGACAAGGAATACAGTTTAAGCAAAATAAAAACCTTACGTATTAGAGAGTTCTTTGTCTCAGCCAGCTGCTGCCAGCTTGTCTGTCTGTCTTTCAATTTCTCAGAAAGGTGTGTGTGAAAATCTAAATGAAATAAAACAAATAACATTTTAGAGATGGCTCTTCTCCTTTTCTTCCATTCCATTCATCTTTGGTACAACACAGCCAATAGAATGCTTCACCTCCTCCCACCCAAAGCATTCCTCAATAGTTAGTAAAATACATTGCTTTTCATTATCTAGAGATTAAGAATTCTTTTATCTTGTTATCAATGACATAAAAAGGCAGATTGAGTAGCAGTAGTTTGGTGCAACCTTGCTTTGCAGGCAGTCCATATCTCAGCATCATTAACCACAAAAAGGCCTGAGTGCATTAAAAACACTTTAAAATCTCTCTTTGGGTAGAACTTTACCAAAAGGCCAGCAGAGTTTCCATACAGGCTTTACAGGAGGTGCTTAAGTTCACACTGACTTATTTTCAGTGTACTATCCATTACTCCTATAGTCAAATACATCACATCCATTTAAAAGATAATTTTTGTTCCCTAAAAACAGACTCCTTAGATAAATTTGGAAAATGGACACTTACATTCATAATAATAATTTCCTTCAAGTTTATTGCAGCAGCATTATTACTTTTACATTGACTCTCAACATAATCAAGCTCATTCTGCTGCATCTCAACTACACAGGAACCAGTGAAACTCTACTGTTGCAAGGAGATTATTTTTTCTTTTCTGTCTTATAAAAACTCTCCATCTTTAGGAAAACAGATTTTAATGCTTACATACAAAAAACCCCCTTTACTTTTGAATTTACTCTCTCTTAGACTAAAAAAATGAACTAAAATAATCCTGGATTTTGAAAACATGACATAATCAAGGAGTCCTCTTACATTTGAAAACCATGAAATCAATTGAGAAGTATTATTGAATTTCATAATAACATTAGGAAAATTTTCAGATGTAGCAAACAGGAAATATAAAACCTATTTTTATTTATTTACATGATTTTCCTTGTAAAAACCAGCAAGACAAGAAGACCAATAATTAATGTATGGTCACTCTAATTCTTGTTTTCCACTGGAAAATAATTTTACTTGGTGCATCTCATGTTCAAATCCTTCATAATATTTATAAGATAATAATTTAACCTTTCACCCAACACCTAAACAAATCAACAGTGAAAATGTGTTCTGTAAACACAGCAATTTATTATACACAAAGAAAAAAAGGCAACACATTGACACAAATAAAAAAGAGCTGACCAAAACAATAGAAAACAAATCACTTTGCACACTAGACAACAAATTAGCCATTTGTTAGGAGCAAAAAGGCTTTGCTTCAAGTGCAATAATGTGAAAGAATGACAGATTCTGAGTCTTTCATCTCTGGCTTTGGGGGGAAAGGAATTTCAAGTGACAAGTTACAAACAGTAAAAACCAGGCAGAATTTACTGAACTGGCTCAATGTCTCCCTGCCACACATGAAGTTCAATTTTGCTAAGGTATAATTATAAGACATTTTTGGGTACTTTGCCTCACATCTAATTAGTTCAGCTTTACTTTTACGGTACAGAGTTCTGATTTAAAAACAAGAAAAGGAAAAAAAAAAGATTTTCAGGAACACTTATCAAGAAAGATCATTCAAAGAACAACAAAGTCAAGCAAAGAAATGAGAAGGGTAGAGCACTGTGGATATCAATGTAAAAAAGCTAATAAATAAAAAATTATTGCAAATTTCTTGTTTTGGTATTACCAGCAATTTTCCCCAAAACAAAATACTAAAAGTTGATATTATTTTCATATTTTAAAAAAGAGAGAGAAAATATATAACTAAACACATGCATATGCAGGAATATATCAAAGAGGAAGTAATGGAAATGTTTTGCTGAGCTTTTTTCCTTTTCTTTTCTATGTGAAAATGGAACCAAATTCTTAAATACAGTGCAATTCTTCTGCAGTACTTACAGCTAAATTAAACCATTTTAGTAGTTTGCAATTATACTATTTCTGTTATATCCCTCCCATAATATGAAAAGTTGCAAAATCTTTCATGTCTCTATTTCTGTTTTAATACAAGCTTTAGCTTTCATTTCTCCTTTATGAGGAAAACCAGAATGAATCCATCAGCAATTTATCTATTGGCATTTTATCACATTACCCTTAAGGCTTGTGTATGCTCCTGAATCTGCTTTATTTTCTCTTTCACCTGCTTGTGGCCACGTTGGGATATTTTATCCTTATAAAGGACACAGATGAGGACAACAAACTGCTCACCCAAGGAAGCTGAACCATCCCTCTTTTTTGGGAAGCGCCTAAAAATAACGGCTAAAGCCCAAATTGACAAGCACCGTTTCTCCAGAAATTAAAAAAAAACCAAACAAACAAATTGTCACCAATGCCCAAAGGAAAGAATATTTCAATGTTAAGACACTTTAAAATAGTGTCATCTGAAGGGAACTCTCCATGGGTATTACCTTCCTTTGACACTCACAGGGAGTTAAATCTAATTGCATTTAGGGTTATCTCAGGCAGCTACATTTGGTATCAACCATCCTCAGGAGGACTATTCTTCTAACTAATCTACTTATTAGGCTTTTATTCAGATTTAGTACAGCCTTTTATAAAAAACATCTTGAAGGGACAGTAATGGATTTTGCAATTATCAGCAGGAAAAAGAAGAATATGACCTACAATCTTTGGCCTTAACAAAAATTAGGAAAAGAAAATCTTTTGTAAGTAAATCTTTAGAACATTAAGTTAATTTTAGTCCCTATCAGACACCACAGTTGTATCTGGAAATGTAAAACCTGTGTGGATTTCCTGTGCTCCTCCTATACATTCCCTCAAAACACAACCCTCCCACAGTAACTGGCAGGGAGAAAGGAACCTGTTTTTTGTCCTTGCCTTTCAAAGATGAGTGAGCGGCAGTTTTTAGTTTGCTATCTCAAGCCCCAGTTTACAGGTGATTTCTGATACCAGTATCAATCCTGGAAGTACCTTTTGAAAACTGAGAAAACAGCCACTGCAATTCCTGACCTGCCCTCCCATGAGGAATACAGAGTTTGGACCAACTCCTTGCTTTCTGCATATTGGAAATATTTCTCTAAATCCCCTCCCAGCCCAACAGGCTCCCAGGGCAGCTGCCACTCTGAGGAATCCATTCCCTCCCACAGTTGGGAAGCACATCTGGACACCAGCAGCCAGAGGTTCTGCCCCTCAGGATCCCAGTGCAGAGCACACCTGGCCCCACAGGACACATCTCTGTCCCAGGAAAGAGGCTGTAAAATACCCAAATATCCTCTTGTTCTTAGTTCTAATCCCTCTTTTGAGCTGTCCTAGCAACTACCCACAGGCACCAGCAATCCAGGAACCAGCAACACTGCTCTCCTCTCATCCCAGTTTCCTTTTGAAATTCTCTTTAAATAAATGCTTCCTGCAATGCACTACAAATTCCCAATCTGATCAGCTCACAGGTATTCTGGCATTTTGCTGTTTAGCATTTTCTAATTGGCGTCACTAAAAGCCGGGTAACCAATCATGTAAGATGTGCTCCACCCTGTCAGATGACAGCACATTGTTTATGGTTAGGTTGTTTGGGGGTTTTTTTGCACATATAAGAACTTCCTTACTTTTTCTAAGAGTTGCTTCCTCCACCCCTAAGTCTTATGTCAACATTGATCTAAAAAATGACTGTGGAACATTAAATATGACCAGAGCCGAAACATCCTCCTAAACTCTGTTCTCATTTTTCCTCTTCTATTTATCAAAGTGGCATAACCCAATTTTTACTAGTAATATACAATGAAAAGCTGGTTTATTTTTATAAAGTAGCACTTCAGAAACCTTGAAAATAAGCCTTACAAATAAATAGCCTGAATTTCTCAAGCTGCTTTCCCTCCCTCCCTATATTTACACAAAAACATCCAGTAATAAACCCTTGCTCCTTTCCTGTCACACCTGTGTGGCTGAGACCTGTCCTAAATATCTCTGATTTCCTGTTTATTGACCACTTTCTGTGAGCAGAAGTTTCTCCTCTGCTGGCATCTCAGTGCATTTTCATCGCTATTTGCTCAATGATTATTGCCCATCATTATGATAAGTGAGGAACAGGACAAACCCTGTAACAACTGACAGAAGACTCTCTCAGTACCAGACAGGTCAATACGCTACTCTGACCTAAAAAAGAGGATTTTTTCCCCAACACACTCTACCCCAATACTTCAGACCATGCCTGGTGGGCAGATGGCGCTCACCCAGCACTCAACCTCTGTTCACACCACCTCCAGTTAGAAAAAAACCCCAATAATACAAAAGTCGTGCACAAAGGTATTGGAATAAGAACTGCTCTGCAACAAAAAGGCCACACAATTTTTCTTTTCCCATATTGTCTTGACAGAATTACTCTTTGCTGTATTACTCCATTATGTTTCATTGCACATTTTATATCCAATGTTTTGTTTGATCTTTTGTGAAAGTTGCGTTCGGTTTTCTCTCCTCCGAAGCACATTCAACAACTCAATTAGGCTCAAAAAGCTCTACCTTCAGAGTGTACTGGCAGCTCTCAAGCACAATTATTCTCCAATGCAAAACACCCACAAGACATATTTAAGAGTATACTTGCACAAAATAATATGTTAACACACCACTCAACGTTCCTGCAGAATTGACAAACACTACAAAGGAAAATGCTCCAGTGCAGTTCAAGGATATCTGAAAATGTATTTTAGTTCAATGAACTCCACAGCAAATACACCATTTTCTCTCCCCTATGCTAAAGGTAAGGACATAAAATGGGAGGCAGAAGTTTCTACTTGCATTGCAATTTAAAACTTCCTAAATGTTACCAGTATGACCAGCAACAGATCTACTGAACCAGGAGCTGGGTTTCCAAGGGCACTATCCATGCCTTTTACAGAGAATAAAGCAAGTATTTAGCCACACTAGAGACAACTCAGAAATTAAAATTAAAAATACTTAAATTTTTTGTTTTCCTTTCCTATGGAGCACTAAAACACTGGGATGTCTTTCTACCATAAGAATCACAGAGACATGCATAATTCAGATCAGTACTTAAAATGCAG